TCACTCACTGATTTGCTTGGGCGGAAACGTCCAAAGTTCATACAGTTGTAACGTAGCAGTTTGATGCCTGTTCAATAATACAGTTTGGGTATCTATACTTCTGTCAACCAATGTTTACATGTTGGCATTGGACCAAGATCACAGACACCTTAAGATTGACTTGTAATATTCAGAATCCGTTGGAATTTGGTTGGAATTGGATTGGAATCTCGTTGAGGTAACGCAAGCCAAATACAAACCAATGGCAGGCATCGGATCAATTCCAATTGAACGACAACCGGTAAGAACCGGATACCAGAATTAGGAGTGTCACATTCAGTCATAATTAATTATCATTTCCGAGAGTTTTTCCTGATGTTTGCAGCTGGCTCGGCTCTACTCTATCTTCATTCCTATTTACTGAATTTGTGGCTACGTGCCGTCGCATATGTCTGCGGTCAATTTCGTACTTCAGCATGAAAGAAATGACAGCTAGCCTTACCAGGGAAGGTCGCAACCACAAAATCAAGATCTTCGCTTCTGTAAAGGCGCCTCGCAGGTCTAGTCTGCTTCGGTCTTATAGAATGGGTGACAAGAATTAGATCCATAGGTTACAGGAACGCGAGCCTCTCTACTCAATTATCGGTAAGGATGGACACTTTTTTAGCGATAAATGTACTACCCGACTGAAGCCAGATACGAACTATCTGCACATTTTTATCATCCTTCAGCTAGGTTCATACAGCTGTCCAAAGAAGTGGAGATTCCGGCCCACTATCAGCAATCTTGAGCGGAACATCTATGTAAGCTGAGCGTAACCGTCAAATCATCGAATCTCCCGCTCCGTTCATCTCCGACGTCCATTGAGAACATGTGCGTTGTAAGGCTTTCCTAATATTATTATCGGAGACTGATTATCGTTCTTAGTTCTTCTACATGCTATCCCTTCCAACGCTGGATGGCACTGCCATAGTGGATGGTTAGGCCTTTAGACCTTAGCTTTTATCATTTATGTCGGCGTCTCACCCTTGACGAAAATTTCCCGCGATTAGGTTGTGCACTCAATCCAGGTGTCGATTTTGCCCTCAGATTATCGTATTGAACACAGTTGTTCAAGTCTCGATGTGCGTGGGATGTACCATCGAAAGGTCGTGGACGTGCCGATAATATGCGTTCTCGAGCTGTGTTCTGGCTATTTCGAACATGTCGCGCTGTATGCATCGATGGGGTGCTGGTAGTGCACCTGTTGACTCGCTGGGAGTTCAATTTCCCCTGGATGCAATAAGAGTCAAGTGTATTTCTATTTTTGCTCTGTTGTCGAGATTACCAGAATTTTAGGGCTGGACTCGACCACCGTCTCTCACCTGTCGAGCAAGTAAAAGAATACCGCCGTCGTCAAGAAGCATTCAAGAATCCTCTGCAGGACCGGTATGACTAGCAACTGAGAACGCAAGTGACGTTTTCGAAATGGACACGACAATAACAAGAGGGCCCCTGGTATACTGAAGGATTGGTAGAGAAGGCCGTGATAAGGATTTACTAAGGAGGTCAGGAAGCCATCTCTCAGTGTGCAGATCTGACAAGAAACACGGACATTTCTAGCTTTCGAGAAATAGACCTCTCGGGGGACAATGACTACTACTCAAAATAGATTTGCGGAATTAAAAGGTTGAAGCTCAAGTCGGAATCGCGGTCCGATGTCAAACACACCGCCTTTACCTCCATCCTCCTTTCCAGCCTTACTTTCCAGTGTTTCGGGATCCCTCAGTCTGAGTCAGTTTTCTAGATTCAGTCTGAAACAATTTCTCTTCGCTGCTTTGGTCGATAATCACCTTCCTGAGACACTAAAGTTTTGTACTGGTGTTCTGCCAGTTCCGAGTCTTGGGATCTCTCGCTGGAAGGCGTCTGATATGACAAGGTATACTCTTGTATAACTAATCGTATATTTGAGGATGTCACCAAAACTCGAGCACCATTGCAAGGTCACATTCGTCGACGGACATTCGCAAAGTATAGCTCCTTTGCGCTGTCTAGCCACTCTTCTTTCAGAAGTAAGCATCCGGTTCACCTGGTATAGAGCTCGATCGCTGAGACGGAACCTTTCTCTCACCGCCTCCAGAGTGGTCGGGTGACTAGATCAAAACTCCATAATGTGGAGTATCCTCCCGTATAAATTGCAGGAGACAGCGTCACCTTTAACCACACAAATCATCGAACAACTCAACTGAACCAATCATCTCTACAACTGCAATCGAACAATGACCAACGTACTCCCCATTGAAGTACTTGCCCAGATCATTGAGGAAGCATGGGCACTTCCTCTCACACCTCTCGAACGACTCAGAACGACGACATCATTCGTCCTCGTCAGCAAAGCGTTCGCTTGGGAGTTCACACGCGTATTCTCTACCGACGTACATATCTTTACGCACTCCCACCTCAATCATGTCATCGGCCGTCTCTTTCAACGAGACACAGTAGCCTTCCGGTCGATCGACTCATCATTTACGCCGTCAGAATTCTGTCGGTCTATCTCCTTCGTCCTCGAAGTCGATCCCTATGGCTCCAATTCTGTAACGCACCCAGTTTCCAAAGACATGCGCGATCTCATGCCAGTCCTTGGACAATTCTTCCCGAATGTCAAACGGGTATCCATGAACTACCACAATTGGTGGTACAATGACTCCGAACTGGCACGGCTCCAGCTACCTGAACAAGTCACTGAGCTGGAGTTTGTGTATACGCACAGCACACGGTTTACCAAAGAGCGTCTGGAGAAGAACGGAAAGATGGACGTTATTCCAGAGTTTGACTTACCAGGGGTGAAGGAATTGACGATTCAAGGAGGAAATCGGTTGCTCAACAGCCAAATCGTACAGGCGTGTTATAACGCACGGCTCAGCTGATGGACGCATCCAATGAACGATATTTATTTAAGGAATTGCTTGCACTTTTTCTTCTCTGATTATGACCGCTATAAGCACATACTGTTTTACGATATATATGGATTCTTTTCGGTTATTTCGCAAAATATTACATTGTCCTAACGTTCTTATCATGTGCTGTATGAGAAAATTTCTGGACGATTTTAAGCACCATCTGACAATAATCAGATAGTGCCCAGGAAGACTTCCCCAAGTCGTGTTCGGAAAAATGGCCCATTTGGAGGTAAAATATGCAAACTCTGTCAAGCTTATTGGCGGTCCAGTGGTCGGTTCGGACTAGGAGGTCCCAGTGGGCTAAGAAAAAATCATCCCGTGGAGCAACAAGCTTTGCTAACAGGATCTATCGTCCCAAAATGTCCTAAATTTTGCAAAACGCCGACAAAGGTTGTACATTCTTGCCCTCAAATGTGCAAAATATTATCAAAGTTTTGACCTTTTAGGGCATCAATTATGCAAAATTGCCGACACAGTGAAGATTCCCAGGGTCTTATCAGATACTACCCTAGTAATCCAGTCTCCAGGACCTCCTTCTCGCGTCCCTCTTCCCGCTGGGCTCCCTCCCGTCCAACCCCTTCCCCACCACCGCCCACCTCTCGTCATCGCCGAAAACCGCCGAGGAGATCCACTGGCAGCTCCTCGCACTCGCAGAGTCTCGGGCGAAGGATTACACGCAGCACAAGCTCCTTGGCGAGCTGTCGACGGTCCATTGTCTCTGGAAGAATACCGTGGCATTGGGGGTAGACGATGATGGGCTGTGGGAGGTCCTCCACGCGGCGTGGGGCGTGTATCTGACAGCCGAGGGTTGGACGGACGGCCGTCTTCACCTCAGAAAGGGCGAGCTCATCCCAGGTTACCAGTGGTTATATCCGCGTTTATGCTGTCGATTTTTTTTTGCTTTCTTGTTGTCTAGCTTTCCATTCCCACTGTCGCATATGTTGTACATCACGCACTCGCATCTACTTATTATTACTTATGATAAATATGATCACTTGTACTACAATTCTCTCGCGTGATTTGAGCTCGACTTGAAGTCAACAATACTTCAAGTTTCAGTTGCAAAAGTACAAAGGACGGCCTGGAAGTAATGGTGCAACAAGCGGGAATTGAACCCCCGGCTGGTCGACGAATGCGGGACGCAGATGGTCGTTGTCTCTTCCCTTCTGACCAGACCACTCCCTCCTCAACCTTGTTCTTGCATTTCCAGGAGCGACATACATTCCAATTCTGGTCCCGTGGTCAGGCCTGGAGAAGGTTTGCCCGCGCAGGAAGAGAGACGGTACAAGGTACGTCCACGCTCTATCCCCCTGCTACCGCAGTCCCAACCCTGTCCTGCCAGTTCCTTCAACTCGTCCACGTACCTTTTGCTTCCATGGGACCAATCTAGTAGCGATCAAGTCCCGCCCAAGAACGAGATCGCCTATACCGAGGTCCCAGACTCCACCTTGTTGTAAACGAGGAACGACGCCAACGACGGTGCGTGCGCTGTCAATTCCCTCCCGCTCTCACTATCTGCTTCCGCGGACCCTTTCTTGTGGCGTCGATCCCTGGACCCTGGACCCTGGTGCCCCATCCAACCGCGACCCAAAACCCGGGATGAATCCGAGATAAGCCAGCAGCGAGGTACGAGCGGATGGAATCCTCCCCCTGGCCTCCGGGAGATTGCTACACCACCAGGCGCAGCCCAGAACCCACTCGGCGCTGGCTTCTACATGTTATAACTCTAGCGCGCCAAGCCTTGCGACTGGCGGACGAGACTGTCGAGACAAGGCTTACCTTGAACCCAAACCGCGACTTCGAGTCCTAACGCCCCTCATGTCTAGCACCGCTCGCAGTCTCTTATCTCTTGGGTCCTCTCTAGAGGAACCATGGGGGGGGACGAATACCTTACTACTCTCCACATCGCTCTGTCGTGATATATTTTGTCGTTATATATTTTATAGCTCATGTTTGATGTTCGACGTCCAGTTTGTACTCAAAAATTGAATGGGGACTTGAAATTTGGTCCGACTCTGGGACGCGGAATAATTATCGCTTGATATCAGAACAAAAGTAGTTGCACCAGAGATGCATATCTTATGCATCAAGAGGGAATCGAACCCTCGGCGGGTCGATAAAGTCGCCTTTCTCGTTATGCCGTTCATGGCAACGACCCAGCTTACCGCTACCTCACTGATGCAGACGATTATTGATTCTTCCTTGCTGAGCAGACCTTTTAGGGGGGCACTCCCTCCTCAACGCGCACCCTTCTCTTTCACCTTCCATGCCTCCTCTTGTGCGCGATGGTATTCCCTTCCGAAAACTCGCACCGCAAGAGGGACGATACAAGCTGCGTACCCAGACTCCAAACATAAGGCGAATCTTGCACTGTAAACAAAGAGCGACACCGACCGACTCCAGGAATGAACGGAAAAGAGGTGGGGCACTGTCTGCTCGCTATTTGCTTCTCAGTCTTCGGAGCCTTCCCACAGAACAAGATTACTTGGGTTTTCATCCACCAGCCACGACCCAGAACCCAGGATCATCCACCGGCTGGCTAGTAGCACGCACCACCGAAGGAAAATCTTTGACGTAAAGGTCAACTCGAGACCGAACGCAGACGATTTTAGAGACACTTCTCGCCTGAACGCAAACATCTGCTCCGCCTATCTCTCTTGCATTGATGCAGCAGTACACCTAGCCGGGACATGGAGATAGCAGTTTGGTACGCGTACACCTCTCAACATGGCTATGAGTCGATGCTTTTTAGTTTGATCTCGTTGTACTTACCCCCATCCTTGGTGGGGTCGGAACAAGCGATGATGAATCGATGGGCGCCCGCGTGATATGCTGGTTCTTGCTCGTCCACTGTCCTCCTTGCGCCGAGTCAGACGTCCCAGCCTTAACGCTTCTCTGGCACACGGACCGACAGCGACTCGGGTGGACATGTCGCCTTTCAAAAGTTCTAGTTTTGTCCACCGACCGTACTTTACCAACACCACATGCGATAAGAATAGGACACATATATAGTACTACAGCATCCTCGCTCTGTGACCAGTGCAATTTGCCAACCGGTTCCGAGCCATTGACTTGCAAAACCAAAAGTTCTAATGGACTAAATTACGGGAGTCTACTAGATGAGAGGGTAGCGCACCCTGACGTTACCCACAGGTAAGTTAAAAGCTTACCACCCGTGACCCCACTTGCTGGAATGATGATTTGATTTGGACAAAAGTGAAAACTTCCTAGCCGCCATATGCATCAGGAGGGAATTGAACCCCCTGCAGATCGATAAATGGCAAACACAGGTTGCTGCTGCTCCATTGATGCACCTGATGGCCAAACTGTTTGCCGCAGGGAAACTCCCTCGAGCGTCCACTCGCCTTGACCGCACTATTGTTTTAGAAAGTGAATATTGCCCCGACTGAGCGGCACCTTCAATGCCAGAGCCCGAACTATCTCGTCTTTGGGAATGGGACCGCTCCCCACCCTCCAGCAATTTGCACTTGCTCCACAACGCCGACCAGGCTGAGGTGCGGTATATCTCCCTGTTACCACGGCCCTCCTGTCGGTTCCTCCACTATTGATTCCTTTCGCCCATGTACATTTTTGCTTCCACAGGACCCGCTCACAGACGAGGTTGTTTATCAGAGGACCCGCAGGAACGACATGCCGAGCGGAAAAGCAGCGATGAGTGCCGGTCTACTAGTTTGCTTCCTCGGGGCCTTTCTCATGATGTCGATCCCACGTTTAAAGGAAGCAGATCGAGTCCCGCTAGATCCCAAATATTTACTTCACATTCTTCGACTGCCGTCTCTCACCTGTCGAGCAAGTAAAAGAATACCGCTGTCATCAAGAACCATTCAAGAATTCTCCACAGGACCGGTATGACTAGCAACTGAGAACGAAAGTGACGTTTTCGAGATGGCCACGACAATAACAAGAGGGCCCTAGTATACTGAAGGGTTGGTAGAGAAGGCCGTGATAAGGATTTACTAAGGATGTCAGGAAGCCATCTCTCAGTGCACAGATCTGACGAGAACGCAAAAATTTCCAGCTTTTGAGACATAGACCTCTCACGGGTAGATTGACGATAACTAATGCAGCTCAAAAATAGATTTGCGGGACTATAAGTTCAAGCTCAAGTCGGAATCGCGGTCCGATGTCGAACACACCGCCTTTGCCTCCATCCCCCTTTCCAGTTACTTTCCAGTGTTCCGGGAGCCCTCAGGCTACGTCAGTTTTCTAGAGACAGTCTGAAACAATTTCTCTTCTCTGCTTTGGTCGATAATTTGCTGCAGTATCACCTTCCTGAGACACTAAAATTTTGTACTAGTGTTCTGCGAGTTCGGAGTCTTGGGATCTCTCGCTGGAAGGTGTTTGATATGACAAGATATACTCTTGTATAACTAATCGTGTATTTGAGGATGTCACCAAAACTCGAGAACTATTGCAAGGTCACATTCGTCGACGGACATTCGCAAAGTATACCTCCTTTACGCTGTCTAGCCACTCTTCTTTCAGAAGTAAGCATCCGGATCACCTGGTATAGAGCTCGATCGCTGAGACGGAACCTTTCTCTCACCGCCTCCAGAGTGGTCGGGTGACTAGATCAAAACTCCATAACGTGGAGTAACCTCCCGTATAAATTGCAGGAGACAGTGCTGCCTTCAACTACACAAATCATCGAACAACTCAACTGAACCAATCATCTCTACAACTGCAATCGAACAATGACCAACGTACTCCCCATTGAAGTACTTGCCCAGATCATTGAGGAAGCATGGGCACTTCCTCTCACACCTCTTGAACGACTCAGAACGACGACATCATTCGTCCTCGTCAGCAAAGCGTTCGCTTGGGAGTTCACACGCGTATTTTCTACCGACGTACATATCTTTACGCACTCCCACCTCAATCATGTCATCGGCCGTCTCTTGCAACGAGACACAGTAGCCTTTCGGTCGATCGACTCATCGTTTACGCCGTCAGAATTCTGTCGGTCCATCTCCTTCGTCCTCGAAGTCGACCCCTATGGCTCCAATTCCATAACGCACCCAGTTTCCAAAGATATCCACGATCTTATGCCAGTACTTGGACAATTCTTCCCGAACGTCAAACGGGTATCCATGAACTACCACAATTGGTGGTACAACGACTCCGAACTGGCGCGGCTCCAGCTACCCGACCAAGTGACCGAGCTGGAATTTGTGTATACGCACAGCACACGGTTTACAAGAGAGCGTCTGGAGAAGAATGGAAAGTTGGACGTCATTCCAGAGTTTGACTTACCATGGGTGAAGGAGTTGATGATCCAAGGAGGAAATCGGTTGCTCAACAGCCAAATCGTACAGGCGTGTTATAACGCACGGCTCAGCTGATGGACGTATACACTGAACGATATTTATTTAAGGAATTGCTCGCACTTTTTCTTCTCTGATTATGTCCGCTATAAGCACGTACTGTTTTACGACCCATATGGATTCTTTTCAGTTATTTCGCAAATATTACATTGTCCTAACTTTGTTGTTATGTGCTGCATGAGAAATTTTCTGGATGATTTTGAGCGCCATCCGACAATAATCAGATGGGGCCCAGGAAACCTCCGCCAAGCCGTGTTCGGAAAAATTGCCGATTTGGAGGTAAAATATGCAAACTCCGTCAAGCTTGTTGGCGGTCTGCCAGTCGGTTCGGACTAGGAGGTCCCAGTGGGCTAAGAAAAAAACATCCCGTGGAGCAACAAGCTTTGCTAACAGGATCTATCGTCCCAAAATGTCCTAAATTTTGCAAAACGCCGACAAAGGTTGTACATTCTAGCCCTCAAATGTGCAAAATATTGTCAAAATATTGACCTTTTAGGGCATTAATTATGCAAAATTGCCGACGCAGTGAAGATTCCCAGGGTCTTATCAGATACTACCCTAGTAATCCAGTCTCCAGGACCTCCTTCTCGCGTCCCTCTTCCCGCTGGGCTCCCTCCCGTCCAACCCCTTCCCCACCACCGCCCACCTCTCGTCGTCTCCGAAAACCGCCGAGGAGATCCACTCGCAGCTCCTCGCTCTTTCAGAGTCCCTCGCGAAGGATTACACACAGCACAAGCTCCTTGGCGGGCTGTCGACGGTCCATGGCCTGTGGAAGAATACCGTGGCATTGGGTGTTGACGATGATGGGCTGTGGGAAGTCCTGCATGCGGCGTGGGGCGTGTATCTGACAGCCGCGGGTTGGACGGACAGCCGTCTTCACCTCAGAAAGGGCGAGCTCATCCCGGGTTACCAGTGATTGTATACGTTTATGTTGTCGATTCTTGCTTTCTTGTTGTCTAGCTTTCCATTTCCATGTCGCATATGTTGTACACCACGCACTCGCATCTACTTATTATTACTTATGATGAATATGATCACTTGTACTACAATTCTCTTGTGTGATTTGAGCTCGACTTGAATTCAACAATACTTAAGCTTCAGATTCAGTTGGCAAAAGTACAAAGGACGGCATGGAAGTAATGGTGCAACAAGGGGGAATTGAACCCCCGGCTGGTCGACGATTGTGGGACGCGGCAGATGGTCGTTGTCTCTTCCTTTCCGACCAGACCTTTTACACGAGTACTCCCTCCTCAACCTTGTTCTTGCATTGACGTTCCAATTCTGGTCCCGTGGTCGGGCCTCGAAGGAAAGATTTGTCCGCGCAGGAAGAGAGACGGTACAAGGTACGTCCACGCTCTATTTCCCTGCTCCCGCAACTCCAACCCTGTCCTGCCAGGTCCTTCAACTCGTCCACGTACCTTTTGCTTCCATGGGACCAATCTAGCAGAGATCAAGTCCCTCTCAAGACCGAGATTGCATATACCTTGGACCCAGACTCGACCTTGATGTCAGGGAGGAACGACGCCAACTACGGTGCATGCGCTGTCAATTCCCTCCCGCTTTCGCGATCTGCTTCCGCGGACCCTTTCTCGTGGCGTCGATCCCTGGACCCTGGTGCCTCATCCAACCGCGGCCAGGACCGTACGCCGATGAACCCTCCACTTGGCCTTTGGTATGCGTACACTTTGAGATCGAACGAGACAAGGCTTACCTTGAGCCCAAACCGCGACTTCGAGTTTGGAGTCCTAACCCCCTCATGTCTAGCACCGCTCGCAGTCTCTTTTATTTTGGGTCCGCTCCTCTACAGGAACCATGGGGGTGACCGAATACCTGACTA